TATCTGAGGTCGCTAGGAGTTCCTCTTCACATTGTGAACATATTAGAAGATAAATCCAAGAAACACGGAATCATACTTCTACATTTTGTGCATTTTCAAGTTTTGGCACCATTAAGTCTATGAGGATACTTCAAAGTTCATGGAAAAATAGAATTAAAAGATAATAACTAATCCTTCCATGAACTTTTTCAAGACTCCTCATATTTAGAAGCCACCTAGAACATTCTATATAACATTGAAAATGTCTGCTTCTTGAACATTTCAGAGAAAATGCTCATAAATTCTAAAAGACCCAGAGTTTTTTCGGAAGAGATCAGCCTTCTAAAAAATTTACTGTTACTGACTATTCTTATTTTCTACTTTTTCCTAGATCAATATTGAGTCAAATTTATTTTCTTGGTTCATTCATAATTTCCTAGGCCAAATTTCTTGGGTCAATTTTTCTTAGATAATCATCACTTTCACTAAGTGTATCAAATTTATTAGTCTGAAACTGTATATAGTATTCTCAAAATTTTTATCTCCTATGTATTTGTATTCAATTTCTCTAACTAACGTTGAGCATTTATTTTCTTTCTTTTTCATTAGATTTTTCGATATCTGGTTTAATGTGTGTGAGATATTTTTGCCCTAAAAACCAGTTCTGAAAAGTAGCATCAGTCCTTGTTTTTGTATTTTTGTCTTTAATTTCTATTTTTATCGATATTATTTTATTAAATTTTTCTCAATATTTACATATTTCGTACATACCTTCTTGGATTGAATGTTTAGTTCATTTATTTTTATTCTCTGTTTTAAAACTTGTAATATTGTGATTTAAAATAAGAAACAGATATTATGGTCTTTTTCCCTGTTTCCCAGCACACAGCTCCTAAAATCCTTGAAATCACCAAAGTGATAAGGGTCTTTTTGTATGCTAATGAGATGACTGGTGGCTCCTAGATAGCCTCAGGATGGGGTTTGATGGCCAAAAGAACCAATCACATGATTACACATGATTAGAGGGTTGGAACTTTCAGTGTTACCCCCAGACGTGGTGGGGGCTGAGGGGAACTTACAGCACAAAAGGCCAATAATTTAATCAATCGTGCATCTGTAATAAAGCCTCCACAGAAACCCAAAAGAAAAGGGTTCAGAGAGCTTCCAAGTTGCTGAACACGTGATGCACTCAGAAAGGGCACAGAAGCTCCTCCTTCTAGTGGGTTCACATGTATCCTTTGTAACATCCTTTAAAATAAATCAGTAAGAATTAGTGTTTAACTGAGTTCTGTGAGCTGCTCTAGCAAATGATTGAACTCAAGAAGGGGGTCATGGGAACCCCCAATTTATAGTCAGAAGTTCTGGAGGTCCAGACTTGCAACTGGCATCTGAAGTTGAGGGCAATCTTTGGGTCTTATCCCTTAACCTGTGAGATCTGATGCTAATTCCAGATAGATAGTGTCAGAATTGAATTAAATTGTAGGATACCCAGTTTGTGTCCAGAAGAGGACTGCTTGTTGAGGGGGAAAAAAAAAACACATTTGTTCACAGAAGTGTTCTGTGTTAAGTGCTGAAGGCTTAGTAGGAATAAAGAATTTGTTTTTCCTACAAAATAATACTAAAAGTGATACTGAGTATGTCTTTGAATTTTATAAATTGTATTACTATTATTAAATAGTCAGTAATATATTCCTTATGATGAAAGACCAGAACTTCACAGGGAACAAGGAGAAAATTTATTTCACACCCCTATCCATTTAAATCTGTTCAAAGAACTATTTCTTTTCTTCCCCCTTGAATGAAATCTAGAACATGTACTATGATTTTTCTGGTTACTCTCACATAAAAAGCCTCAGTTTCTTTTATAGCAAAACTGGGCTTATTTCAATAATTATAACAGTGAATGCCATGTAATAATCAAAACTCCAAATTGGTAAAGATAAAATGTTTCCCCTCCCCTATCTTCTGCTCTGGAATCTCTCTGCAAGCATCCAGGTTGACTTCTTCCTGCCTCCCAAGCACTCAGATCATGATTTCTGACCCTCAAGAGTTAGAGACAGGGGAAAGAGGATGAGGAAAGAGGAGCTAGAAAAGTCTTTTTAACTGGCATTGTTTACATATTGGTTAGCAGATGTCTAAGGCAGACTCTTCTAGGGATCATTTCCCTCACGTAAAATTACCTGCCTTAAATTTTACTCTGTTCTCCACGCTTCCCTCCCTTTGCAGCCACAGGCCCCTGAGGCAGCTTGCAGGCCGTTATTCAGGTGGGAGTCACCTAACAAATCCTAAATGGCACAGATCCTAAAGTGATTTCTTCATATGAGAAGAACTTCTTCTACCCTTTCCTATTATTGGGGTTGGTATATAGACAGCATAGCAATTGATAACCTACTTCAACAAAAATCTACACTCTTTATACCTGCAGAGAGCCCTTAACTTGTTGTCTGCCCCTTCCTTTATAAGTCCTGAATATATGGCCTTGTGCCTACATTTGGGATGGCAGTATGGTTTGAATGTATGTGTCTTCACAAAATTCATATGTTGGAACCTAAGGCCCAATGTGATAGTATTAAGAGGTGGGGTTTTTAGGACGGCTCTGCCCTTACGAAGGGATCTGAACCCTTATAAAAGGGATTAAGGAAACTAGCTAGGCCCTTTTCACCCTTCCTTCATGTGAGGACAGCCTCACGTGCTTTTGATCTTGGATTTCCCAGCCTCCAAAAGTATAAAAAATAACTTTCTGGTTTTTTATAAATTACCCACTCTAAGGTATCTTGTTATAGCAGCCTGGAACAAACAGAGAAATGGTATGATCTTGCTTCCTATTATTTTATTCTGGTTTTTGAGGACTCAGCAGGAAATGAGACAGAAAAAACACCACTGTAACATTCTTTTTTGTGGGGGCTGACTGGCTGGTGCAGGGATCTGAACCCTGGACCTTTGTGATACAACACTGCACTCTACCCAACTGAGCTAACTGCCAGCCCCACTATAACATTGTAACATTGTCTTTAATTACAGTTCTGATTTCACTTTGACTCAAAATCATGGAGAAGAATGAAATACCTAAGTGATTGAATTTTTTTTACGTGATACAACACTGCACTCTACCCAACTGAGCTAACTGCCAGCCCCACTATAACATTGTAACGTTGTCTTTAATTACAGTTCTGATTTCACTTTGACTCAAAATCATGGAGAAGAATGAAATACCTAAGTGATTGAATTTTTTTTACTTTTTCTTTTTTGTTAAATTTTGGTTTCATTAAATTGTGGCCAGAGAAAGTGACCTGTTTTGAAAAATTTATTGAGATTTTCTTTTTGGCCTAATACTTGAGTCAAATTATAAAAATATTTCATGAAGCTTTGAAATGAAGGTGAATCTCTGTCTACCCAGTACAAACATTTGAGGGAAGCAAATGAAGTTACCTAACTAACCGGCCAAAACCTGAGACAAATGATAAAATCCTATCCTACCTTCTTTTCATTTCTTCTTCACTATCTAAGAGGATTTACTTAATCTATTTAGTTGCAATGTTATCTACTGAATAAAGGCTCATAAATTTTATTATCTCATCATGAATCATAAACTTTACCAAAAGAAAATTACCCTCCATGTGCCTTTTAGTGCTTGTTACCTTAAATTTTACTTATGAGGGGGTATTCAAAAAGTTCATGGAAAGATTCATATTATCTTGTAGTTCTATTCTGCCATGAACTTTCTGAAGTACCCTCATATCTTTTATATAAACCCATGTGCTTTTCATTTACATATTCCTGATTTTTTTTTAATTTTTAATATTAAAGGGTCATTTATTTTAAGTATGTCTCTTGCATAGAACATATATTAGACATGGGGATTTTTCAGGCTAAGAATTTTTGCTTTATTTAGAAAAATTAACAAAAACTCCAAAACAAAGCTAAAAGATGACTACTTGTCCTTTCAGTGTTGTACTAGAATACTGTCTAACAAGTTTGCCTGACAGTCATCTGACTCACTATAGAAATGTAATATTATTTAATTTAATATCTACTATGGATTCAGTACCAGGCTCTGTAAAATTAGCTATCACCTGAAAAAAAATAAAATGCAAATAATTTGTGTCTGGTCAAAACATGAATAAATTTTGTTCAAGACAGAAGACAACCTCAAAGGTATAATCTTATTGTCAGTAAAACACTGTCATATATTTTATTTAATTTATCAACTTTATTCATTATTATTTTTGTTTTCACTTATTATATGCATATATTTTTCAGTTTCTTGTAACCTCCCTTGAACCAGCTTTGTCAATCTGCTAATTCCTTCATTAATTATTTAAACACAGGTTCACTATGTTTTTGTATGAGAACTTTGTTCTTAACATTTTGAAAATTATACCTTGACATTTTTTAGTGAGAAAGTTTTCATCCTGTTTGATGTCTTTTATCCCTTTTTTTTTTTTTTGTATGTGGCCTTTAGTACTCTGTCTTTTCTTAAATGGATTTTATTTATCTTATGGCTGTTTTATACAGCAGCAGAAAATGAAAATATTGAGAAGATATTAGTCATCTCACAGAGCTGATAGGAAAACTGGGGAAGAAGCATGAACAAAAAGGCAACAGAAAATACAGCTGAGACCCCGCTAACCAGGACAGTCTGCTTAACATGTCACTGTTGGACAATCACTAGACTTCTAGTAATGTCACAACCAAGGGACACTATAGCTGCCTCCACCACTAGCATGCTGGAACGCTACCACATACCACAATATATAAATCCCAAATTCCCTCTATTTTTTTGAATCACTCTTTCTAGCATTCTGGGCCCATCTCAGCCACTTGGCCAAGCCTACATCATTTTGAAGAAAAATACATCTAGTTAAATTTTAAGGGAATTTTGGGGACAATATTTTTATTTCAGATGGTTAATACTTAGAAGTTTCCTAAAAGTTTTCCACATAATTTGCTAGATGTGTGCACGGTTTCACATAAATAGAGTGGAATCAGACCTTCATTAGCTCTTTGTAGAAGAACCTTACCTGGGCCGAGTCCATCATGGCCTATCACAATCTTGTACAAATCTCCAAGGTACACAGCTTCCAGGAAGAAGGTGTCAGTCTATAACCAATCAAAAAAGTATAATTAGATCTAGACTATAACTTTGACTTCTACAAACAGTATTAAGAGACAGTAAAAATCAACTGTAAAAAGTATGTTCATTAAGCAAATATACAATTCCGTCTATATTAAGAAAGTACAAGCAAAAGAATGATATTAATTTATAGAACATAATAATTTTTCAAATATACCCCCCTGCTTGCTATTGCCAATTTTCAGTTATAAAGCATATATTTGGGATATATGTATTTGGGATTCTCTATAACTGTATTTTTTAAAAAATCATAACATAAATATAATAATCATAAAATATACTAAAAGTTTGCATTCCTTTCAATGAAAACAATTCTTGTCTGCCCTAGGATGAAATTATTTTTTAGCAATGTTTTTGGGTCATTTGCAAATATAATGCTCTGAAGTAATTTTAGGATACTGATACAAAAAAGATTTAAATTTATAACATTTATCTGGAGTCCCAAATTTGCTGCTACATCAAAAGAAGATATGGTTGTGCTCCAGTAGTTTATATATTCAGAATAGGGATAAAAGTGAGTAGCACAGAACACTTTTAATAAAATCTAAGATAATGCTATAGGTTTCAATATAAGAAAAATACACAATGTAGCATATCTGTTGAAAAATTATCAAGAAACAAAAAATAACCTTTGCATTTGTACAGTCTTATATGTTTCTGAATATTTTCACATACATTTTATTTTATCCTAAAAAAAAATTGCTCTGTGTGAAAAAAATATGCTTTCTGCAGACAAGAAAGCTAAGGCACAGATCCAAGATTAGAGTTCAGCTCCTCTGACATGTAGGAATATTTTTCTTTAGAACCACTCTGCCTCTACGTAAGTGGACTGTTAAGAACATAAATAACGGGTAACAAAACCACTATCATTCATTAACAAAAAAATACTGTCCATGCCTGGTACAGGTTAATGCTGTCATCCCTTTATTTACCAAACAGATCTGTTAGAAAAGGAGAACTTTCTGTGCAATAACAGAAAATATTAGCAAAGAAAATTATGAATTATAATATCTATAATAATCTATGTAAAGAACTCTAAGAAAAAGAATGGAAACATATAATGAAAATATCCTGACATACTCACTAAGGACCAGTTGGGTCATCACAGAAAGCTGAGATAACTAAAATATGGTAAACCCTACATGCTTTACTCAGTAAAAGAGAAAGACAGAAAGAGAGAGGAAAAAAAATGAAACAAACAAAGACTTCCTTTAGGTATTATGTGCATATTAATATTAATAATAGTAAAATAATGTAATGCATTCAGTTTCTACGTTCAACAACAAAAGTTATTATATGTAATTATCCACATTTAACAATATGAGGGTAGGTTTAAAAATCAACAAAAGGGAGAGAGACATAAGAACACGGTAGACTGGGAAGCTCCAGGCCCCAGTTCACCCATAAAGACACCAAGTTAACAATAATATGAGGAGTAGAACACTTTTTCTGAGGAATCTAGAGAATGCTTAAGAGCTGCAGTACTCAGGGCAATGCATAATCAAGAAGTGACTCTATTCAAAAAGGGTAGAGAAGTTCAAGTATGTTGTGTCCATGCCCTACCCCTACCCAGCATAGCACAATGCAACAGAAAGGAAACCTCACATACCCCATATCTTCCCTCAAGACAGAAACAAGAGAGTTGACCGCATGTCCAGAATTCTGCCTTGTTTTTTCCCTGCCTTGGAGCCATGATGGTAATGGTAGCATAGTCTGAAAGCCCAGAAAACAGAGACCAGCCCTGAGACCTGTTAGAGCAGCAGAGATTCTTTGGTATGGCAGGCAGATGACAGGGAGCAAGAGATTATGGGCTCCAGATAAGAAACAGAGCCAAGCACAGAAAGATATTAAGATAGTTAAAAGCATACACACAAGCCCAGAGAAGACAGTCAGAAAAGGTTTGAAAGGTCCCAAATCTCCACCTGGACTGCTTAGTGAAAGTTTTTCCCTGAATGAAGCCACTCCATAATAACCATAAGATGTGATTGTTTTTTTACATGCCCAAATTTCAACAAAAGATCCCAAGCCTACAAGGAGAAAAACATGGCCCAATCAAAAGAACTTGGGCCAGCCCAGTGGCGCACTGCTACAGTGCGCTGCTTGGGAGTGCAGCGGCGCTCCTGCCGAGGGTTCGGATCCCACATACAGACCGGTTCCCGCTCACTGGCTGAGCGAGGTGCGGGTGCAGCACTGAGGGTTGCGATCCCATTGCTGGACATGAAAAAAAAAAAGACAAAAAAAAGGAAAAAAAGAACAAATAGCTCCATAAACTGACCCTAAGAAATGCAGATCTCTAAACTTCCTCATAAAAATTTAAAACTGTCTTAAATATGCTAAATGAGCTAAAAGAGAACACAGACTGCCAACTAAACAAAATCAGGAAAATCAGTCATGTACGAAATGAGGATATCAACAAAAAGAAACTGTAAAAAAGAACCAAACAGAAACTCTAGAACTGATAATTACAACAACTGAATTGAAAAATTCACTAGAGGGGTTCAATATCAGACTTGATAAGGCAGAAGAATCAACTAACTTGATGGCAGGTCATCTGAAATCATTGAGACAGGGAAGCAACAAGAAAAAAGTGAAGAGAGCATAAGGAACTTATGAGACACCAGTAAGAAAGCCAATACATATTATGGAAATTTAAAAAGAGAAGAGAGAGAGAAAGATGCAAAGAGCTGTTTTAGAAAGAAAATAAGCTGAAAACTTTCAAAATCTGAGGGGCAAAAATGCACATATAAATTCAAGAAGCTTTACAAATTCCAACTAAGATAAACCAAAATAAATCTACACTGAGACACATTGTAATCTAACTGTCAAATCTCAAAATGATGTGAGAATCTTGAAAGCTGTAAAAGAAAGGCAACTCATCATATACAAGAGAGATTTTATAAGACTGTGGGTAGATTTAGGCAGAAACAATGCAGGTTAGAAGGCAGTAGAATGATATAATGAATGTACTAAAAAGAAACGGTCAACCAAGAATTCTACATCAGGTAAAGCTGTCTGTCAAAAATGAAGGAGATATTAAGACTTTCTGAGATTTAAAAAAAAAAAAAGCTGAGTATGTTCATTACCACTAGACGTACAATACAAGAAATGCTAAGGTCCTTGAAGTTGAAACAAAATGACACTACACAGCAACCTGAAGCCATACAAAAATATAAAGTTTTTCAGTGGAAGTAAATACATGAATGAACATTAAAAACTTGTATTATTGTAATTTTAGTGCATAAATCCACTAATACTTGAATAGAATTTAAAAGACAAAAGCAGGTATACAGCATATAAAGATGTAATTTCTGATATCAACAACATAAAATGAGGGTATGGAGCTGTAAAGAAGTATAATTTTTGTATGCAACTGAAGTTATGAGTCTAAAATAGATTATTATAATTTTAAGATGTTTTATATAATAGCAATGGTAACCACAAAGAAAATGTCTATGAAATACACACAAATGGAAAGGAGAAGGGAATCAAAGCAGGTCACTAAAACAGGTCACTACAAAAAAATCAATGAGACACAAATGAAGGCTGTCAGAGAGGAGAAGAGAGGAGGAGGGACATACAGAAAACAATTAGCTAAATGACAATAGTTAAGTCTTTCCCTATCACTAATTTCCTTAATGTAAATGGATTAACTCCAAAATCAAAAAACATAGATGGAGGAAATGACACCGATTCTTTACAAACTATTCCAAAAGATTGAAGCAGAAGCAAAGCTTCCAAACACATTCTACGAAGCAAACATCATCCTGATACCAAAACCAGGTAAAGATATAACCAAGAAAGAAAACTACAGGCCAATATCCTTGATGAATATAGATGCAAAAATCCTCAATAAAATATTAGCAAACAGAATACAACAGCACATTTGTAAGATCATTCACCACGATCAAGTGGGATTCATCCCAGGGAAGCAAGGTTGGTTCAAAAAAAAAAAAAAAAAAAAAAAAAAAAAAAAAAAAAAAAAAAAAAAAAAAAAAAAAAAAAAAAAAAACATAGATGGGCTGAATGGATTGCAAAAACGAAATCTGACAATATGTTGTTTACAAGAGACTCACTTTAGATCTAAGGATGTACAAAGGCTGAAAGTGAAAGAATGGAAAAAGATATTCCATACAAACAAGAACCTAAAGAGAGAGGGAGTGAGAGTCATATTTACATCAGATAAAATAGACTGTAAGTCAAAAACTGTCACAAAGAAAGACATTATATAATGATAAAAGAGTCAATTCATGAGGCAGATATAACATTTATAAATACATATGCACAAAAAATCAGAATGCACATATTTATGAGACAAACATTGATAGAATTAAAGGGAGAAATAAACAGTAACACAATAATTGGAAGAGATGTCAATGCCATACTTTCAATAATGGATAGAACAATGAAAACAAAAGATCAAAAAGGAAGTAGAGGATTTGAACAACACCATAGACCAATTGGACCTAACAGGCATATAGAGAAACATGAAACAATAGGAAGAATATACACTGCTTTCAAACGCACACAGAACATTCTCTAGGACAGATCACAAGTTAGGTCACGAAGAACTCGTAACAAGTTTAAAAAAATTAAAATCATACAAAGTATCTTTTTCAAACACTATGGTGTGAAACCAGAAAACAATTCCGGAAGGAGACTGGAATATCCACAAATACATGGGAATTAAACAACTCACTCTTTAAACAACCATTGGGTCAAGTGACATTGTAAGACAGTGGGAAAGGAGACTCGAGACTTTCAATCCTTCCATGGATGCTCTGAATAAACAACTACACACAGACCAATTCCCTCGGACAGAAATCCAGAAACTTGTTGAGAGACTCCTACACACGAGGCAACTGAGAAAATATCTGCATCAAAACAAGTAGGAAGGAGACCCGTGGTGACCATGCATCCCGCGGCACCAGCAGGTGACCAAGCAGGTAGGCCTCACTGCCACTGGACC